GACGTCCAGGGGAAGCCAGTGGTCACTGTAGCTAGATTAGTGATAATTATTATGTCATTAACCACCATTCCAGGTTCCCAACCAACTAACCCTCAAGGGTCAGAGGGTTTTTTTTCATGGCCTTTTCCCAAATGGGGAAACTAAGCTCTCCCACTCGCCTTCCCCACCAGAGCCTCCTATAGTCCAGCTTTGGGGCCGCCTTGAGGCTATAGCTTCCTTGCACTGCTCTGTGGGTTCCTATGGTGGCCGCCGGGCCAGGGCTGAGGAGTATAGACAAACACACATGGACCCTGAGTCAGGCAGTGGGGTCCCCACTCAACCCAAGTGAGAGGATTGTTTGTCCAACTCAGACGTGTACCCTCCCCCCTCTCCCTCCCCCCTAGGGTGTGGCAGTTCCTTCCAGGTGCTCTAGGTGTCTAGGGACCAAAGAGGGGCCTTGGAAGGTCTCTTCTCCAGGCCAGAGCCCGAGGGATTCAGACAGGCTTCCTTGGCCCAGGAGCCCCTGGGCTGGGCTAGGTCAGCCCAGGAGGACGGGGTAAGGTGTTACTGGATGACTTCTCTTCCTGCCACGGCCTCTGAGGCCGAGTGGGGCAGCGATTTGTCCTGAGTTGTCCCCGCCCGCCCGCCGAGAGCTGGGAAGGACACCCACTGTGATCCCTCCCTCTGATGGGAGTGTGGCTTGGCTTGATGCCCATCATGGGGAGCTCACTACCAGCACAGCAAACTAAGGGAAGCCCCACCAGGTGGCGGTTAAAGGCAGGGACTGAGCTCCCACTCGACCCTCCTTGGATGAGTGCTCTGTGCCTCAGTTTCCCTATCCATAAAAATGAGGCCAAGAAAGCCCTACCTTGCAGATGCAGGGGTGGGAGGTAGATGAGCAGGTGGTCCAAATGGACCCACACACAGGGTTGCGGTGTTAACTCGAATCCTGACCACATGCCTCACTGTGACCTCCTTCGTGATGTTTAGCTTCACGTGAGAGAAATCATGTCGTGAAGAGGGCGGGGCTCCGAGGCCTGAAGGTGTGGGGGGCTTTCAGGAGGTCCCCTGAGGAAGGTCCCATGAGACCTCAGTTCCTCAGTTCCTGAGGTCCAAGGATGTCCTTTGAGGCTGGGCTGGGGCAGGGCCGGCATTTAGAGGCAGCGGGACCCCACCTGGCCCATCCCGGGTGCCCTGAGCAGTTTCTGAGGTGGGCTGCCCAAAGTCAAGTCCTCCGCTGAGCCATCCTTGACGAGCCCCCAAGACCTAGAAGCAGAGAAGTCAAAGGTCTACAGGGCCTGGGTCACCCGATCCCCATGTTCTATCTTCTTCCACACCCTGGAAGCCCCACGGCCTCTGTTTGCATAAATCTCCTCATTCAAGGGGTTTTTACTGAAGCAAGGGCTGGCCTCAACGAGCCTCAGGAAGTATCTTTACTGGGCTTTTTGCTCTTTTTTCCCCCTTTTGCTTACAAAAATAACTTCTACTTCTTGCAGAAAGGGACCCGTCCGTCATTACTAGGAGGCCTAACTGGAACCAGTGAGGGATCATCCCCGGGGCCAGTAGGTCAGGGTTCAAATCCTAGCGAGCACTCTAGGCCTCCGTTGGCTGTGTGACCTCTCCGGGGGGCTCCCTTTCTGTGCCCAGCTCACCCACCTGGGAAGTGGAGACTAGGGCCCCCTGGAAGGCTCAGTCACAGGGCCCACGCACAGGCCCTTGGGCTCACACCCTCGACTCCCACCCTTGAGTCTCTCCAAACTTGGACCTTGCCCTTCTCCAGAAAGCTGTCTCGTCCATTGCCTTTCTGTCCCCCGTTCCCACCTCAGCTCCATGAGCAATGGGCGTTTCTTGTAGTCGACTTGGCCGCCTGTGCAGAACCTTAGACCAGGGCATGGCACACACAGGTGCTCAGTGCTGGCTCAGAGCAGTCATGGTGTGTACATGACAGTGCTCGCCGATGCCAAAGCTAATACTGTCATTGTTGGAGCTTCCTAAATGTGTATTTTGGTTTACGGCCTATCTCAGGACTCCGGTCATGATGCACACAAGTGGGGTTCTCCCATCACCACCGCCTCCCCTCCCCCCCGCCGTCACCTTGCCTTTTGGAAGTCCCAGAATGTTCCATGCCCTTTTCAAAATCCCAGCTGAGCGTTGTTAATACAGCGTCATAGGGCCCATAGTGATGCTGATATTCAGCACCTGTTGGGGCCCAGAAGGGCCAGCTGCTGACCCTGGGTCCACCGATGGGGTCGCCGCAGCCAGCTGCAGGGGCATCTGCCGTCAGCCTTCCCAGCTGCTGCGCATGGATTTCAGCCCTCCCTTTTCTGATTCAGAAACTGAGACCCAGCGACGGGTCAGGGTCCCTAGAGCGGGGAACTAGGGACAGGGAGGGGGTCTGTCTCTGATAGGCCAGGAGTGTGATCCAGGACTCACCCTCTCCGAGCCTCAGTTTCCTCATATGGAAAGTGAGAGCATCGTGCGGGGAATCCCCTTGATTTGATGGGGACCCCCTAGTTTGTGTCAGGCGAACCCTCCATGGTCTCTCAGGGCACAGAGTGGGGGGCGGGGGGCAGGTCCAGGCCCTGGAGGGTGGGAGCAGATAGGGGCTCTCAGGAATAGTGGGGAAGACAGGGTGAGGAGGACAGAGGTGCCCCGAGCCACATTTGCTTGGGGATATGCCGAGCCTTGGCTGTCAACTGGGGGTGTAGGCAGAGGACGTGGGGCCAGAATTCTGTTGCTAATAGGTGTCCTGGATTAATTCTGCTGTGTGGTCAGCCCCTTCCGTACTTTTAGAGCCTCATTAAATTCAGTGAATCCTTCATATGTGGTGCTGTGTGTTTGCAATGAGTTGTGGCCACTCAACGACTGTGTATTGATGTCTCAGGACCATTTAGTGGCTTGTTCCTATCCATTGTGATTATATTCATATTCACGCATCACGAATGTGCCTTGCAACTATATTAATTGTTGCCTTACAACTATTTTGTATATTATAACCAGGGGCTTCCTGAATATTTAGCAGGTCGTTAACAGTATTTACTAACATAAGGCTTCTTTTTTTTTTTTTAATATTTGTTTATTTTTGAGAGAGAGAGAGAGAGCGAGAGAGCGTGAGGTGGGGAGGGACAGAGAGAGAGAGAGGGAGACACAGAATCCGAAGCAGGCTCCAGGCTCCGAGTGGTCAGCACAGAGCCCAACGCGGGGCTCGAACTCACAGACAGCGAGATCATGACCTGAGCCGAAGTCGGATGCCCAACCATCTGAGCCACCCAGGCGCCCCACTAACGTTAGGCGTCTTGCTCATTAAACGCATCATGAATATGTCAGTGCTGTGGCTATTTGGTTCTTTAGTGCAGGAGCAGCTCTCAGTCCTGTCTCTGCTCTACAGGCACTTGCTAACTTATTGTGACTGAATCGCCTTCGTCTCCCAAGGCCTGGAGGGCCCCAGACGGGTTGGTGGCGTCTGTCACCTGCAGCAGGGTTTGGACTGAAATGAGGCATGAGGAAATTGCTAATATGTGGGTCATCGTTTGTATTTTTCTGCTGTTCAACAACCAAGCAGTGAGTGTCTCCTGGGGACACAGCTGTCACTTGGCCCCACCTCTGGGGCTCCAGGCTGGTCTGGGAGATCAACAGGAGAGAAATGAGTAGAGTTCCCATGTTGCCATGGTGGTGAGAGCCGCAGAGAAAATCAGCCTGGACAGGGTGTTTTAGCTGGGAGGTTGAGGCCCTTCTAAAAGGCAACATTGAGGTCACCTGGGTGGCTCAGTTGGTTAAACGTCTGACTTCAGCTCAGGTCATGATCTCACGGTGTGTGAGTTCAAGTTCAAGCTCAGCATCGGAGCTTGCACTGACAGAGAGGAAACTGCTTTGGATCTTCTGTCTCCTTGTCTCTCTCTCCCTCTCCCTCTTTCTCTCCCTCTCCCTCTCCCTTTATTTAATGTTTTAAATATTTGAAAAAATAAATAAAAAGGCAACATTGGGCTGAGCCTGAAGAGCAAAGAGAACTTGGGGGAAGAGCAGGAGTCCCAAGTGGAAAGAACCAGGGGGAAGAGGAGAAAGAACAGGAGCCCAGCAGGTGCAAAGGCCCTGTGGCAGGGCTGAAAGAAGCCAAAAAGGCTGGTGTGGCTGGAGCAGACCAGGGGGCAGTGGTCACGGGCGGTGGGGAAACAGGGGCTGAGAGTTTCCACACTTGGCAGCCACACCCTGGAGGGAGGCTCTTGGATCTTGAAAATGTAATAAGTGGCTTCTCTGTGTGTACTAGAGGAAGCAGGCTCTGGGTGATGGCGAAATCGCACCAGTGCCTGGAGGGCAGACAGCCAGGAGCAGGAGCAGCTGGTTTGGCAGTGAGGGTCCCCGAGAGTCCGCCCAGATGTCCTTGCTGTGACTCTGTCCGCAGCCACTATGTCTGATGTGTAGGGAGGGCCATATGCGAGCACTGTAAGGACGTGCTCCTCCATCGGGTACCTGCGGGGCCTTCCTGGTTTACTTGCCATCGTGTCCCCGCAGCTCACACCACACCCGAGTCAACCCTCCCCCGTCACCTCCCATGTGACAGGCTCCGTACAGTCTGTTCCTCCCGGTCCGTGCTTCTTCTCCATCTCCCATGGGCTCTACACACTGGCGACCCCCCTTCGCCATAGTTCCTGAGCCCACTCCCCTCCCTGCACCTTGCTGACCAGCCCCTGCCCAGGCCCCCAGATCCTTCTGCCTGGATGCTGCCTGCCTGGTCGTCCTCATCCCCTCAGTGGCCGCAGGGGGCTTCTTAAAAGCATAGATCGATCTTGTCCTGCTCATGCACCCTCTATGGCTCCCATTGCTTCTCACATGTAACCACATAAGAGGTTCTTAGTAGCCTGTCCCCCCCCCCCCCCCCCCCCCCCCCGCCACCGGCATGGATCTGACAACCCACCATCATCTCCCTCCTGTCCCGCTACTCCAGCCCCACTGGCCCCCTCTCTCTGCCTCAGCACCTCATGTTTGGGGTCTGACCCTCCACACCTGCTATGCCCTCTGCCGGCATGCCCTTCCCCCAAGACTTTGACCAGGTGATTCCTTACTGCCTCTCAGGATGTTCCGAGGCTGGTCAGGTGCCCCACCCACAGGCCCTTCCTTCTTCAACGACATTTATTATATTGTTACTGAACTAATTACCTCTTCTTCCTGTATTAACATCGCAAGGGAGGGGCTGATTTGGTTTCGCCTGTTCACAGATTCATTCGCCAGCCTGTGCCCAGGGTAGCCCAGCCGCGGGGTATTGGCTGACCTGGGCTCTGGTTGTCTGTCCTTTGTCAGATGTTTAAGTGCGTGGTTCCTTTGAAAGATTCTGGAAGGCTCTGAGGTCCGGGTGGGGAAAGCTCCCAGAAATTCTACATCATGGGAAGGATAGGATAGACAGACCCACCCGTTGGAGTCCTGGGTTCCAATCCTGCTTTACACCGCGTCTCGGTATCCCCGTCTGTAAGCAAGGACTCCCGGGGCACCAAAGGAGCCAGGACAATGAGCCAAGGTCATGGAGTGGTTACCACACAGCTAGTGTGTACTGAACCCTTTAACCCACAATTCCAAGGGACCTCATTGTGGGTGGATCCTGGGACCTCAGCACTGCCATGTCTTGATGAAGAACTAGACTCCAAAGAGGAAGTGGCTAGCCAAGGTCAACTCAGAGCAGAGAGGTTGAGCAATGAATCTGACTTTCCCACTCCTTGCTTACATCCCCTCTGTGGCTTCCCCTGACCTCCAGGAGACAGCCCCACTTCTCATTCTGGCATTCAAAGTCTTTACAGGGTCTGGCCCCACTCCCTAGCCTCAGAACTCACCCTCTCTCCAAATTCTACTTTTCAGCAAAATAAACTAAAGACCATACCTTGACTAGGCCTGTTTTCTTTTCCTTCAGTGCCTTTGTGTTTGTTCTTTCCTCTATCTGAACTCCCCTTGGTGAGCTCCTATGCATCCTTCAAAGCCTTAGCTTCAATACCCTGGCCCCTTCTTCCGACCCAGCCCTGATCCCACAGGGATCTGGATCTGTCTCCTCCTGATTGGGAGCTTCTGGAGGGCCAGGCCCAGGGGTAAGGCTTGTCAGGTTCCCCCGACCTATTTGTTGAATGAATGAATGAATGAATGCATGAATGAATGAATGGTTTTCATATCGGTTTTGGGGGGATAAGAACCGCTGAGACCCTTCTCAGGCCTAGAGGACCTGGAGCCAAAGCAGGTGGCTTCTGTGGTGACGCGAGGTACCCACGGGGCCACCGGGGGACAACTCTGGGCTCCGCCTACCCTTCTGTGAAACAGGGGTGATAGTTTCCCCAGTTATTCAAAGCCCATGGACTTCACTGAGTTCGTAGCTGTTTGGACTCCTGTAAACCCAGTCATTCTGTACAGCTAGGACTGGAGGGGGCGGACGGCAGAATCTTGGGTAGGGGTCCGGGGACTGGACCCAGGCCTGCAAGGGGCTTCTCATCAACCACCTAGCCAACCCAGCAAAGGCCTCAGGCTTACTTGCTGCTGCTCAGTAGGTCGAAGGAAGTAATACCAAGAAGCGTACCCTCCATGGTTGACCCCGCCCCTTCAGAGTGAAACCCACAAGGGCAGATCTGTCAGTACCTGGGGCGCTGCCCACAGAGGCACCCAACAAGGTTTACTAGACCTGTAAGTCCTCGGGGCGCCTGGGTGGCTTAGTCGGTTAAGCGTCCGACTTTCGCTTAGGCCATGATCTCACGGTTCGTGGGTTCGAGCGCCGCATCGGGCTCTGTGCTGACTGCCAGCTCAGAGCCTGGAGCCTATTTCGGAGTCTGTGTCTCCCTCTCTCTCTGACCCTCCCCTGCTCACGCTGTCTCTCTCTCTCTCCTAGAAATAAATAAAAATATTAAATAAAAATAAAATAAAAAAAGTCCTCAGCGCTCTCAGCCTTGCCGACACGGAGGCCCAGAAGTTCTTTGGAAGGGGGTCTTGGTTGCATTAATGGAGGTCTATTATAGGGAGGAGGGGAAGTGAGTCTCCCTCCCCTGCCTCGAGCTTGAGCTCTCAGACCCTAATCAGGAACCTCATGGGGGCTGGGCTGGGAGGGTAGAGTAGCAGAATCCCTCCTTTTAATTTTTTTTAATGTTTATTTTTGCTAAAATCTGATGCTTAACTGACTGAGCCACCCAGGCGCCCAGAATCCCTCCATTTAGAGAAACCTTAGACCTGAGGAGAAAAAATTGGGAATGCCGGTGGCTGTTGGTTAAGTGTCTGACTCTTGGTTTCAGCTCAGGTCATGATCTTACCGGTTATGAGTTCGAGCTCTGCTTGGGATTCCCTCTGTCTCTCCCTCTGTCTCTGTACCTCCCCTGCTTGTGCTCAGTCTCTCTCAAAAACAAATAAACTGAAAAACCATAATAGTAGAGCTCATAAATCCTCCATATGATGAATTTGTATCAACGGGTATCAAGGGTTTTTGTTCAACCCTGATTTTCCACTTCTTGTCTTCCCTCGTTTTGAGTTCCCTATTCCTGGTTTCTCTGTTGGTTTAGACCAGGATATCTCAACCTTGACAATGTTGACTTTGGTGGCTGGATTGTCCAAGGCGGGGTTGTCCTATATCCTGTAGGATATTAATTTCAGCAGTGTCTCTGGTTTCCACCCACTTCATGCCGTTAGTAGCACCAGACATCCACCCTTTGCGAATCGTGACAGCCAGAAATGTCTCCAGATGTTGTCAAGTGTTTCCTGGGGACAGAATCACCTGTTTGAAAATCCCTGATTTCAGTTCTAAACTGCAGATGGTTAGGGGTTGGGGGGCCTGGCTGGCTCAGTCGGTTAAGCCTCCGACTTTGGCTCAGGTCATGATCTCCCTCTTAGGGAATTTGAGCCCCACATCGGGCTCTGTGCTGACAGCTCGGAGCCTGGAGCCTGCTTCGAATTTTGTGCCTCCCCCTCTCTCTGCCCCTCCTCCACCCGCGCTCTGTCTCTATCAAAAATAAATAAACATTAAAAAAAATAAGCTGCAGATGGAGAAAGGGATGAATCACTCTCTGAGATTTTCTAGGTCCTTAATGAGAGTGTCTCTTGCCCAGGAGATAGGTTCTGAGATGGGCAGTTGTTTTCTAGGGTCTGTGGGTCTCTGGCCACAGGGATGGCCCAGAACACTGTGGCATTTCTAGTCTGACTTCCTGTTTGATGACATGGTCTTTTATTACAGCTCATGAGCTTTTGTTGTGTTTTTACTATCCTTTTTCTTTTTAACATTTATTTATTTATTTTGAGAGAGAGAGAGAGAGAGAGAGAAAGCATGAGCAGGGGAGGGACCGAGAGAAAGGGAGGGAGAGAATCCCAAGCAAGGTCCGCACTGTCAGCGCAGAGCCCAACACAGGGCTCGAACTCATGAACCACGAGATTACGGCCTGAGCCAAAAACAAGAGTCAGAGGCCCAACTGACTGAGCTGCCCAGATGCCCCTTTTCTATCCTTGAAGCTCAGGGTTTGCCTGGGAACCTTCCTTTCCCATCGTCCATCCTGAACTCAGGCCTCTCTTCAGGAAAATGCCCTTCTGGGATTCGGTTCACTATTGTCCACATCCATCAGTACACAGTTTCATGCCAAGATTATTTGCCTTTTTGGGTCTCCCAGACCTGTCCCCCAGCGCCACCCCCCCCCGCCCCCCACAAGACAGGCTCTATGCCACCCGCAGATGGGGCCCGAAGCTGCTTAGGCTCCGTGAGCTCGGTGCGCCTGCCGTTCCCTCCCCTGGGACCTTCCCCCAGGCCTCAGCCATCCTGGCTCTTCTGTGCCCCTCGCATCCGGCTTACATGTCATCCAGACCTCAAAATCCGACCCTGCCCCCAGGCCCCATTTCCTCATGTGCCTTTTGTCCCCTCGTATCATTTCAGTGAGGTTTTCGTTTAGCGTTTGACCCCCTTAAGAATGTAGATCCATAGTGGATACAGTTAGGTGTCCCGGGCCTATGGAAACCCAGCATTCCTTCATTCCTCATCCATTCAACACACATTTAGCGCCTGCTGCGTACCAAGCACAGTTCTGGGGACTGGGAGTAAGATGGTGACCAAGACAGGTGCATGGAGCTCAGGTCCTGGTGGTGGATGGATGGGAAACTATATATATATATTTATTTAATATATATGTATATATTATATATTTCATATATATTTAATATATATGTTTATATATTTATTATATATTATGTATTTTATATATATATATTTAATGTTTTGCTTTATTTTTGAGAGTAAGAGAGAGACAGCGTGAGCAGGGGAGGAGCAGAGAGAGAGGGAGACACAGAATCTGAAGCAGGCTCCAGGCTCTGAGCTTTAGCCGTCAGCACAGAGCCTGACGCGGGACTTGAATTCATGAGCCATGAGATCATGCATGACCTGAGCCAAAGTCGGACGATTAACTGAGCCACCCAGGCGCCCCAAGAAACAATACATTTTTACAGTTTTATCACATATTTTAGGAGGTGAAAGCGCTGTGGAAGGGGGAAAAATGTAGAACAGGGTCGGGGATCAGGGCTACTAGTGAGATATTATGTTCTGAGGAGGGGACATTGAGCAAAGACAAGAAGTGAGGGAGGGAGCTGTATGCACATCTGGGGAAGAGTAGTGTAGGCAGAGGGAATAATCTGTGCAAATGTCCTGATGCAGGATCACGCCTAGCACGTTTGAGGTTAAAATGCCCCACCAACACTCTTACGTAGGGTGAATTCTCCCCATTTTAAATGGAGGCTTAGAGAGGTCAAGCTTCTTTTCCAAAGTCACACAGCAGAACCTGTGGGGCAGGATCTGAGCCCTGTTTCCGGGAGACCTCTAGCTGGAGAGGCTTGGCCAGGCAGTGTGCAGAGACCCCAACGGGGGCACACGAGGGACATGGCTTTGCGGATCCAGGAAGAAGGCACTGTTCTCACCTTTAGGTGGAAAGGGAAAGCCACTCTCTTCTTTGCTTGCAGGCAATAGCTGGGTGGGGCAATGCAGGGACCCTCAAGAAGCCACCGGTCTTAGAAAGACAAAGCTGAACACAGACACCCCCTGGGGATCAAGACTGGACCAGAGGGGTAGACTGAGCTAGAGGGGCCAAACAGAATCAGGAGTGTTCCTGAGGGGTTAAAGAGGGCTTCCCAGAGAATGGATCACTTAAGCTGGGTTATAACGGAAGAGGAGGCGTTTGCTAAGGAACATAGCTTTGTTCGAAACATGCTGAACCTGAGGGATCTGTGAGGAGCCGGGCATCATGCTCAGGTCACGGGACCATTAAAAATAGCCTAGGGGCACCTGGGTGGTTCAGTTCGTTGGGCACTGTGCCCACCAGCTCAGATCCTCTGTCCGCCCTCCCCTTTGCTACCTGCCCCCTCTCAAAAATAAACATTAGGGGCATCTGGGTGGCTGTCAGTTAAGCGTCCGACTTCGGCTCAGGTCATGATTTTGTGGTTCCTGAGTTCGAGCCCCACATCGGGCTCTGTACTGACAGCTCAGAGCCCGGAACCTGCTTCGGATTCTGTGTCTCCCTCTCTCTGTCTCTCCTCCCCCACTCATGCTCTGTCTCTTCCTCTCTCTCAAAAATAAGTAAACAAAGGGGCGCCTGGGTGGCTCAGTCGGTTGGGCGCCCGACTTCTGCTCAGGTCATGATCTCACGGTTCGTGGGTTCGAGCCCCGCGTCGGGCTCTGTGCTGACTGCCAGCTCAGAGCCTGGAGCCTGTTTCAGTCTGTGACTCCCTCTCTCTCTGACCCTCCCCTGCTCACGCTGTCTCTCTCTCTCTCTCTCTCTCTCCTAGAAATAAATAAAAATATAAAAAAAGAAAAGGGAAACAGGAAGGATCTTAATAGCTCTCAGCTGATAAAGAGGCAATTCTTTGGGCTCCTAGGCCATTTCTGGGGCAGGGATACAGGAAGACCAGGTCCAAAGGGGGGATTCTGGGCACCCTGAGTCTGGGAGGTTCACCTTGACATCTCCATGCCTCAGTTTCTCTGTAAGTATTTAATGCCCAGCAGGACCCTGGGCAACTGTCAGAGCCGACACAGGCTGAGGGGGGCGGGAGGAGGTGGGGTGAGTGGGGGATAGGAGAGGGTGCATTTCAGTGTGGTCCAGGGCACCCCGGGGAAAGGGCTCGACCCATCAGGGTCCTTAATGCCGGTGACTCTTAGCAGGAACCACCAGGCCGACCAGGATGAGATGGCCCCGGCGCCCACAGGTGGCCCTGGCTGTGGCCGTCAGCATCTTCGCCCTCTTCTTCTGTCTGCTCGTGTCATGGTCCGCCTTCCAGAGCCCGAGGGAGCCCCGGGACCACCCCATGGCTCTGACCTGGCGCTTTCAGCCCGCCCGCCGCCCGCCGCCCGCCCCCTGCAGGGCCAACACCACCATGACCACCCTGAAGAACTTCAAGGGGCAGCCGCAGCACGTGCAGAAGTTCCTGCTCTACAAACACTGCCGTGACTTCCCGCTGCTGCAGGACGTGCCTCTGGACAAGTGCGCGACGCCAGTCTTCCTGCTGCTGGTGATCAAGTCCTCACCCAGGAATTACGAGCAGCGGGAGCTGGTGCGGCGCACTTGGGGTCATGAGCGGCAGGTGCGGGGCGTCGAGCTGCGCCGCCTCTTCCTGGTGGGCACGGACCCTAACCCCCTGGAGGCTCACAAGGTCAACCAGCTGCTGGCGATGGAGGCGCGGGCACATGGTGATATCCTGCAGTGGGACTTCCATGACTCCTTCTTCAACCTGACGCTCAAACAGGTGAGCCGGCAGGGAGTCACCTGACAAGGGCCACCCCATCCTTCCCGCCCACTCACCACCACTTTCTCCGAGGGGCCCAGGGGGCCAGGAGTCCCCATCCATCCCACCCCACTCTGCCTACAGTCCTCAGGGTGATCAGAGTCTTCTTCCTCTAAGAGAAGCAGGGAGAGAGGGCTGGGTGACTTGAGGTTACGAGCCGGGCTGGCTCTCAGAGCCTGATGACCTAGGTTTGATTTCATGGTCTGCTTTTTACTTGCTATTTGCAAGTAAGATAATCATTTACCTCTTGGTGTTTCAGTTTCCTCTGGTTATCAAGGAAATGAGATTAGTTGGATCCACCCACCTCTAAGGGCTGCTGTGAGAATGACCAGAGATATTTACAAAGCATCTGGTGCAGGACCAGATGTTCAAATGATCAGCAGGGGTTCAGCGCCGCAGCGGCGCTGGACAGAACACCTTGTTGACATGTTCTCGTTCTGTCTCCCCATCAGGCCCAGGTCTGTGCAATGGGTGCTCAATAAAGACCTTTCTGATGGACAAGAGCCCACAAGAAGTAGAGAGAATCCTGCCTCTACACAGATAAGGAATTGGAGGCTCCGAGGACCTGCCCAGGAGTTGAAGGGGACCCAGGGCGGGTCCCTGCTTAGAGTAGGCACAGCCAGGTCTGGGCTCAAGACCTTAAGTTGCTAGTCCTCTGTTGTGTGACCTTGTCCAAGTCACTTTATCTGGAGAGCCTCTATCTCCTCATCTGTAAAATGAGGTTGAAAATCATACCTGACTCTTAAACTTCCGTGAGGGATTCCAGGTGGGGCAGTGCCTGGCATGCAGCAAACGTTATTATGGAGGAAACTGAAACTGAGGCAGATAGAGAGCCAGAGTCTCTCAACATGCCACGTTCTTAATTCAAAACAAAAAAGCATGTAAAAATGTAAACTTAACAAATAGGAATCTAGTACATAGGAAGCGATGACCCCACACCGGGTCCTGGGGACATACACAGGTGGAAGAGACACAGGCCACCCCTACCCCAGGGGAAGCCTGAGTCTGGTGGGGAAGATAGATGCTACTTAATAGACAACCAAGTAATTGTTTAACAGCAGTGCTTGGCCAGGCAGAGTCAGAAGGAATTACAATAAACATAAATGTGACAATTTTCAAGCGCTTGTTGGTGCTGTACAGAGCATCATCTCCACGGGTCCCCTGCACTCCCAGAGGCAGGTCCTACGATGAGGTCTGTCTGGAAAGTTGGAGACTGAGGCTCAGGGCGGGACCTCAGACCCATGCTGGCCTGCCCGGGGGACACAGCCTCATCTGGGCTCATCTCGGCCGGGCCGACTACCCCAGCCCTCGAGCCTGTGTGCCCTGTTCACTGCCTGCAGGTGCTCTTCCTACGGTGGCAGGAAACTCGGTGCACCAATGCCAGCTTCGTGCTCAATGGGGATGACGACGTCTTTGCGCACACAGACAACATGATCTCCTACCTGCAGGACCATAATCCCGACCACCACCTCTTTGTGGGGCAGCTGATCCAAAATGTGGGCCCCATCCGGGCTTCCTGGAGCAAGTACTATGTGCCAACAGTGGTGACTCAGGAGGAGCAGTACCCTCCCTACTGTGCGGGGGGCGGCTTCCTGCTCTCCCGCTTCACGGCCTCTGCCCTGCGCCGGGCCGCCCCCACCCTGAACCTCTTCCCTATCGATGATGTCTTCATGGGGATGTGCCTGAAGCAGGAGGGCCTGAAGCCCGCCTCCCACAGCGGGATCCGCACGGTTGGCGTTTCCGTTCCCTCGGCCCACATGTCTTCCTTTGACCCCTGCTTGTACCGGGAGCTGCTCCTGGTACACCGTTTCTTGCCATACGAGATGCTGCTCATGTGGGAGGCCCTGAGCCAACCCAACCTCACCTGTGGCCAGCAGGTACAGATCTACTGAGGTGGTATCAGGGCCGCAGGTCTCCACCCCTCACCGGAAGGAGCCACCACATCTTCCTCCCAGGAACCAGAAAGCTTTGCTCCTAAGTGGGCCACGCATGGCGGAGTGCCGGGGCGGGTCTGATGAGTGAACCGTCTAGCTGGCAAACCCCTAGACGTCTTTCAGGACCCACCCGGTACTGGAACCCATGTTCCGTCATATCCTCCCTCGCCTCTCAGCTAAAGGGGGACGGTCTCCTTCCATGGCAGCCAACTGCAGAAGCATGTCTGAATCAAGGTCCCATTTCCCAGCTCCGACCTTGACTGTGGGGTGGGCCTTAAACGGTGGCTGGCTCCTCCTTGGTAGTAAACCCACAAAGGTTTAACAGTGAGTTTCAGCCATGGTTCAAGGTCAGTTGGGAGTTCCTAGGTCCATGTGCAGCTGCAGCGAGAAGGATTTGGCAGCCTCGGAAAGAAAAGGGGTTTTGTTCTCTCTCGGTTCCCGGGCCTCCACCCACATCAGACCTCACTCAGCTGGTAGAAGGAGCCAGAGACCCCATGAGTGGGACCGCCCCCTCCCTGCTCATGGTGTCAAGGTCTCTAATGGTAAATGTCAGGTGGAGGAGGCAGACGGCTGTCTGACTCAGGCTAGGAGAGCTCCGAGTTTCTAGAGTTTCTACAGTCCCTGAGAGGGCCCAGCCCCCATACTTGTGCTCCCTGAGGATTCAGGGAGTGATGCTAGAGCCAGAGGGTCATCACTGGGCTGGAGATCACACGTGGTCACCCCACGTGCCCAGAGAAGGGGGAGATTCAGGTCCTTAGATGTCTCTGAGCTCTGGGGACCCAGGACTGGCCCCCACGTATATGTCAGATTGGAGGGATCCAAGCAGAATAGTGATGCCCTTTCTTACCCCCCCCACCGCTGGCTCTGGGCAGACGGCTGGGGCTCAGGCTTCGTAGGCTTTGGAGCCTTGCTTGGGATGGAGGAAGGGGGTGCTTCAGCAGAGTGAGGACTGGGGAGTAGGTTGTCTGGGAGTAAAATGTTTTGTGAAGACCTGAAGTGTTTGTTGTTGTTTTTTAAAGTGATTTGCAAGTTTTAACTCGGACCAGTCAACAATCTGTACAAGTCTCGTTTGCAGTCGAAAACCGAGAAATCAACGAAAATGGCATGGAGGAACAGGGGTGAAGTGGGAGCTTCTGTCGAGCAGATCTGACGTCAGCCTGGCCCTGCTCACGTACCTTCTGTGGTCCCCTGTCACCCTCAGCTCCTATGCCCCCAAGGCCGGGTCACAGGCACAGGGGCGAGACTGCTCCTGGGTGTGTGGCACGGTGGACCTGCCTCGGCTTCCGGCAAGGCTCCTTCCAAACACCAGCCAGCCTCTCCTCTCCTCCTCACCAGACTCCCCTCCTGCTAGGAGGCTCTGCTGTCCTCTGTCCTACTTCATGCTCTCCCTTCTTTAGAAAAGTATTTATTGTGCACCTCCTGTATGCAGCATGCCTTGCCCTATATTCCTGCTCCCAGCCCTGTGGCATGGGTTGGCAGATACCCACCCTGTAGCGAGAAAACAAACCTGTGAGCAATCAAATAGGAACCTACCGGCAGTGGTAAGAACTTTGAGAAATAAAACAAAGCAGTCGGACACACAGGGGTGGGAAAGAGTATTAGCTGAGAGTTCAGGGGACTGGAGCTGAGACCTGCAGAAGGGGGACACGGCCATGGGAAGAACTGGGAGAAGGGCGTTCCAGGCTGAGGCCACTGCATGTGCAAAGGCCCTGGGGTGGGACAACCTGGAAGTGTTTGAGTTGCAGCAAAAAGGCGGTGGCTAGAGCTAGGTAAGTAAGGATGATATGGAGTGAGGGACGTGAAGTCACGTAGGCTGGCCACATGGGGACTTGTGGACTGGGGTGAAGGGAGAGGGTGTTATTTTGAGAGGGATGGTACCTTTGTACAAAGAAAGGACATGATTGATTTTTTTTTTTTATTTTTTATTTCTAGGAGAGAGAGAGAGAGCGTGAGCAGAGGAGGGTCAGAGAGAGAGGGAGTCACAGACTGAAACAGGCTCCAGGCTCTGAGCTGGCAGTCAGCACAGAGCCCGATGCGGGGCTCGAACCCACGAACCGCGAGATCATGACCTAAGCGAAAGTCGGACGCTTAACCGACTAAGCCACCCAGGCGCCCCGGACATGATTGATTTTTAAGTTTTTTTTAATGTTTATTTTTGAGAGAGCTAGCATGAGTGGGGGAGGGGCAGAGAAAGAGGGAGACGTAGAATCCAAAGCAGGCTCCAGGCTCTGAGCTAACTGTCAGCACAGAGCCTGATGGGGGGCTCAAACTCACGAACCATGAGATCATGACCTGAGCTGAAGTCAGATGCCTAACCGACTGAGCCACCCAGGTGCCCTGAATTTTAAGTTTTAAGAAGTCCTGGGGCGCCTGGGTGGCTTAGTCGGTTAAGCGTCCGACTTTCGCTTAGGTCATGATCTCGCGGTTGTGGGTTCGAGCCCTGCATCGGGCTCTGTGCTGACTGCCAGCTCAGAGCCTGGAGCCTGTTTCAGAGTCTGTGTCTCCCTCTCTCTCTGACCCTCCCCTGCTCACGCTGTCTCTCTCTCTCCTAGAAATAAATAGAACATAAAAAAATTAAAAAAAAAAAAAAAGTCCTATGGCTGCCGTGGGGACTGTTGGGAAGGGAGGTGACGGTACTGTCCAGGCAAGGGAAGGCAGGCCCGGATGAGACGTGGGGAGGGGCGGGGAGGAGGCCTGCAGAGGTTTCTAACATGTAGGTCTGAGCTCATGCTGCCCCTGCTCACACAGCTGTGGCTCCCCATTGCCCCCGGAGAGAGTCCTGCTCCCCTGCCCCCCCCCCCCGCCCCGGACTGAGCAGGATACAGCCCCCTGGAACTTTAGAATATGGCCTGATTTGGAAATAGGGTCTTTCCAGATATAATTAAGGTAAGGATCAAGGTAAGGTCATCCCGGATTGGGGCAGGGTGGGCCCCAAATCCAATAAGAGTGTTTTTATAAGAGAAATGAACACAGAGAGACCTGGAAAAGAAGGCCAGGTGAAGACAGACAGAGGGACACCTGGGGGACTCAGTCAGTTAAGCATCCCACTTCGGCTCAGGTCATGATCTCACGGTTTGTGAGTTCAAGCCCTGTATCAGGCTCTGCGCTGGTGGTGCAGACCCTGCTTGGGATTCTGTCCCTTTCTCTCTGCCCTTCCCCTCCGATCTCTCTCTCCCCCTCTCAAAATAAATAAAAATAAGTAAACTTTTCTTTTTTTTAAAGAGACAGAGGGGTTCCTGGGGGGCTCAGTTGTTTAAGCGTCTGACTTCAGCTCAGGTCATGATTTCGTGGTTCGTGGTTTCGGGCTCTGCGTCGGGCTCTGTGCTGACAACTCAGATCCTAAAGCCTGCTTCAGATTCTGTATCTCTCTCTCTCTCTCTGACCCTCCCCTGCTCACGCTTTCTCTCTTTCTCTCTCTCTCTCTCAGGAATAAATAAAGAAAAATAAAATAAACACTAAAAATTTTTTAAAAAGAGAGAGACAGTCATGCATCTGGAAGGTCAAGGACTCCTGGTAGCCACCAAAAGCCAGGAGAGAGATAGGGACCAGATTCTTCCTCAGAGCCTTTCTAACAGAAACAACCCTACCGCACCTTGACTTCTGTCTCTGGCTTCTAGAACTACGAAGGAAGAAGATTCTACTACTTTAAGACTCCCATTTTCTGCTAACTTGTTATGGCAGATGTAGGGATCTAATGCAACATGACTGGATCACATAGTCAAATGCTTGGTCATTTTCCCCGGGGGATCATATCATATATCATTTCCATCTCTAGGCGAAGGGAGGAAGCAGGTGAGAAAAATGGTCTGAGTCAGATGTCCACTGTAACTCATTTTTCTTTCATTTTTAAAAATTTCATTTATTTTTGAAAGAGATTGAGATGACAGAGTGCGAGCTGGGGAGGGACAGAGAGAGAGGGAGACACAGAACCTGAAGCAGGCTCCAGGCTCTGAGCAGTCAGCAGAGAGCCTGACACAGGACTTGAACTCATACAGATCATGACCTGAGTTGAATTCAGATGCTTAACTGACTAAGCCACCCAGGCGCCCCCACTGTGACTCATTCTGATGTCCATGTTTGTCCACTGTTAGGTGGACTTTAGGTGACATAAAGCCCACCCCCTCTGCCTCCCGTCTTGACAGATTACCTGGATTCGAATCCTGCTCTATGCCATTCCCTGTCTGTCTCACCTTGGCAAACAGCCACCTCCCCCAGCGTCAGTTTTCCCACTTCTTTAAAATGTTGATTTATTTTGAGAGAGGGACAGAGCGAGCATGCAGGCACCTTGGGGCCAATCCTACCAACCTGAGCCGAAACCAAGGATCGGATGCTTAACCTACGAGCCACCCAGGCGTCCCTGGTTTTCCCACTTCATATCGCGATGATGTGCAAGTTGCTATCACGTGTCGGCAGGTCCATGGCTGCCGGCTGCCAGGCTTGTCCCTTTTTCTTGAGAAAATGCAAAACGCTGTTTCAGATTTTGCAAGAGCTTCATTTATTTACTATTAGGGAGACATTGACCAGGGTGTCACGGATGCGGGGAGGGTGGCGGTGCCTGGGACTCCTTAGAGGTGAGAACATTGGGCCCTCAGTTTCCGGCATCTCTGTGAGACCAAGAACCCTGCAAGCCAGGGTGAAGGTGTGATTTTTTATTTTTATTTTTATTTATTTGTTTTGCAGTTGGCCCTACAGAGGAAGGTGGCCCGGGAAGGTGGGGAGTGCTGGGTACCGCCCTCCCAGATGGGGTTTATGCGCCGGGTGGCTCCCAGAGCCCGCCAGATCAGCTCCCCGGGGTCTCCAGATCCGCACCCAGTGGGGGTTCAGTGAGGACACAGGGTCAACAGGTGTTCCCGGGTGCAGCCACTGAGGCAGCAATAATGTGCAGGGTTGGTGGCGGCTGCCCGGTGGTGGCGGTGATGGCGAGGGGCCTGGGGCAGGGGCTGTGGGATGAGAACCAGTTTGGGGTCCTCATCGGCCACCAGCCCCTGGAGGTGTCGTCCATCCAGCCACTGCAGCAGCTCCCCTGGAGAACGAAGCAGAATTCAGCACCACGGACAGGGGACCCTAGAGGACCCCTCCCCAATATGCGCACACACCCACACGCTCACTTTGTGCGGTGGCCCTGGCCCAGCAGACACTTGTGATGTACACAAACAGAAAGTGCCTAATAAGTGCCTACTGTATACCGAGCACAGATCTCAACCCCGTCCAGGCAAACACTCTTGACCCAAGCTCACGGTCAGGTCCCCAGCTGTGCACATTTCCCCGTGCCACCTACCAGAGGCACAAACACGTCACAAAGCAGAAGACGGCAGAGGTGACATGTGACCTATACATGTACACATGTGTGCAGGCAGTGGGCTCACATGGACACACGCACACATGGGCACACACCCTCATACCCCTTCCCGGGCCTCCCAGGTGTGTGCCCACCTGCATCTGGGTCACACAGACGCACACATGGAACGCCTCCCGCCCCGTGTGGCACACATGGGCGTTACAAATCCGTTTCACCCCCTCTGCACCAGGGCCCGGAGTAGGATGCAAAGGGTGAGCGCTGGCCCTGACGCACAATTGAAGGGGACGCCCAAACACTCAACAATGAAGGTTAATCGTATTTTAATGCAAGATTTTTAAGAATCTAAATCAATGCTAACCATCGCGAAGATCGAAATAGTGCAACTGTAAATAAGGCAGGCTCTGATCGTGCACTTGCAAGGCTCTGCCTCGCTCGCCTCGCGCTGACTCCTGCCTGGCAGGGAACGAACGCATCCTTGGCGAATTTGCACACAGCAGCGCCGCGACCCCCGCACGCGCGTGCGAGCCCATCCGCCTGCCCCGACGCCAGCGCCCGCGAGCACCTGCCCCAGCTAGAAACCCCAGGGCGCTGTCGTCGCGCGGCCCTACTCACGGTCGCCGCCGGCCACTCGCCGCCCGTCCTCCGAGGACCAGCGCGGGCCCCCGCACTCCCGCACCAGCGCGCGCACGAAGTGGTAGCCGCACAGCTTCTCTGGGGCTCCCTGAGCAGGCGCGGAGCCCAGCGCCAGCGCCAGACTGATGCCCAGCAGCACCAGGGCGCAGGGGAGTGGGCGGGGGTCCATGGCGGCAGGAGTCTGGCCCTGGCGGGGATCCCTTCTTATAGGCGTCCAGCCAGCCCCAGCTGGGGGACCTTGGACGGGGACAGAACATTCTGAGGGATGGCTCAGGGAAAAGGTCAAGGGTGGGGTGAGTGTTAAGTGTAGTGTAAGCCCCAGCAACGTCTCCCTCCCCCCCCCCCACCAAGTAATCTCTCTGACCCAAGTGGGGCTCGAACTCATGACCCAGAGATCAAGAGTCACGTGCTCCACCGACTGAGTCAGCCTTTTTTTTTTTTTAAATTTTTTTAAATGTTTTATTTATTTTTAGGAGAGAGAGAGAGACAGCATGAGCAGGGGAGGGTCAGAGAGAGAGGGAGTCACAGGCTGAAATAGGCTCCAGGCTCTGAGCCGGCAGTCAACACAGAGCCCGACGCGGGGCTCAAACCCACGAACCGCGAGATCATGACCTAAGCGAAAGTTGGACGCTTAACCGACTAAGCCACCCAAGCGCCCCAAGTCAGCCTTTTTTATAGTAGGTGACTTAAACTGTTGATTGCCCAGGTATCCCCTTCAAAGATGGCTATCTGAGGACGCCTGGGTGGCTCAGTCGGTTATGCATCTGACTTCAGCTCAGGTTGTGATCTCATGGTTAGTGGGTTCAAGCCCCGTGTGGAGCTCTGCGCTGACAGTTCAGAGCCTGAAGCCAGCTTTGGATTCTGTGTCTCCCTCTCTCTCTTCCCCTCCCCAGTTTGTACATGTGCTCTCTCTCTCAAATATAAATAAATAAACTTTAAAAAAATGGCTATCGGGAATAAACACCAGCCACAGGACTAGGGAAAGAGAGAGGCTTCTTCCCCTGTTTTTCCCCTTCTGGCACTTTAAATTTTGGGGACACAGAGACAGAGGGCACAAGTTGTGGAGGGGCAGAGAGAGAGGGAGACACAGAACCCGAAGCAGGCTCCAGGCTGGGTTGTCAGCACAGAGCCCCACACTGGGCTCGAACTCAAGATGCCAGATCATGACCTGAGCCGAAGTCAGACGTTTAACCCACTGAGGCGCCCGGGTGCCCTCCCACCCCCACTGGGAGGTTTTAAGTTTACCAATAAACAACGAGCCCTGGGAACTCGCACCCTGGACCCAGCGAGAGCAGAGGCCCCACTGGTGAACAGGCAGCTCTGTCTCAGTCCTCCCCCCCCGCTCCCCCCCCCACTGTGTGGCCCCCGGGGCTCTGAGTAATTTCCAGGTTTTGTAAGTGATAAATATTTTTTTTCAGGTTTCCGAAAAAATGGTTGTCCGGTGGAAGGACGTTCTTTTCAGAACCACAAGGGCCAGTCCAGCACAACACTGGTCATTGATAGGCTGAGACCTAAATTACTGCAGAGACCTCCCTAATGTCCTATGTGTAGGCCCTGTTCCCCATCGTGAAGGTGTTTGTGGAGGGGGCGGGGGAGGCGCTTTGGGAGATCCTTAGGTAGTGGAGGTCATGGCGCGGGGTCCCATACAGGGTTGGTGCTGCCTTAGGAGGGGCTGCCTAAGGTGGGGACACGTCGCCACACCCCCTCCCTCCCCCCTCGAGGACACAGCCAGAGAGCAGGGGCTCAGCAGACCTGATGGTGCCCCCGGCCCTCTAGCCTCCAGAGCCGCGGGCAGGAAGCCCCTGTTGTGAAAGTCACCTGGTCGCCCACAGCAGCCTAGACGCCAAGCCAGGGCCCCACACGGCCAGAGGAAGGCGTCTGCACTGGGGGACACCTCCGCAGCCACACACAGGGACTCAGGCCACCGCACCCAGGGGACGGGCTGTGCGCCGACCGGCTCAGAGCATTAAACTCCAGTCTGTGTCTTAAATCCACCCGTAAAGAGTGAGCTGGGAAACCCTAGGCCCCCACCCCAGACCCCAGTGAAAGCAGAGCCTCCCAAGCCTGCGTTTGCTATTTTTACCGGTGACCTCCGCGTGTGGCCTGAGGCTGTGTAATTCTGAGGTCCTGTGAGTAATGAGCCTTTACTTTTTCAGGTTCTGGGCGGGTGTGGCCGAAGGGCATCTAAAACCACAAGGGTATTCTTAGTGTCCACACTGGTTATCGATAGGCTGAGATCTGCACAGGACATGAGGGTCTCTCTCCCTAGGCTGGGCCGTGGGTGTAGCTCTGCCAGGAAGAGCACTGGCTGAGGAGTTGTTTTTTTTTTTTTTTTAATTTTTAAATGTTTCATTTATTTAATTTATTTTTAAAAATTTTTAATGTTTTATTTCTTTCTGAGAGAGAGAGACAGCATGAGCAGGGGAGGGTCAGAGAGAGTGGGAGACACAGAATCTGAAACAGGCTCCAGGCCCTGAGCTAGCTGTCAGCACAGAGCCCGATGTGGGGCTCGAACCCACGAACTGTGAGATCATGACCTGAGCTGAAGTCGGATGCTCAACCGACTGAGCCACCCAGGCACCCCTGTTTTATTTATTTTTGAGAGAGAGAGAGACAGAGTGCAAGCAGGAGAGGGTCAGAGAGAGAGGGAGACACAGAATCCGAAGCAGGCTCCAGGCTCTGAGCTGTCAGCACAGAGCCCAACATGGGGCTCAAACCCACGTACTGTGAGATACTGACTGAGCCACCCAGGCATCCCCTTATTACTGTATAAATAAGGACACTGAGGCTCAGAGAGGGGACCCACCACACTTGCCCATGGTCACAGGAGGCTGGGCCTGGGGCTGGGGCTGTTGGCCGGCTTTGTCTCTCCCACTTCAGGGTCTCCTTGGGCTGGGCGGGCACTGGAGGGCCCAGAATGAAGCTGGCTATGTTTGCCCGGCATCTGCTCGGTGCCAGCCTGGTGCCCAGGAGGACTTATGACCTCATTTTACAAGGAGGCCAGCGACAGCAGAGACAAAAGAGGGCCTGGGTTGAAAACCGTGTCTTTCTTCTTCTTTAATTTTTTAAATGTTTTGTTTATTTCTGAGAGAGAGAGAGAGAGGCAGCATGAGCAGGGGAGGGTCAGAGGGGGAGATACAGAATCTGAAACAGGCTCCAGGCTCTGAGCTAGCTGTCAGCACAGAGCCCAACGTGGGACTCGAACCCACGAACCATGAGATCATGACCCGAGCCAAAGTCAGATGCTTAATTCACTGAGCCACCCAGGCGCCCCTGAAAACCCTGTCTTACCTGAGCCCAATACAGTCCCCTTGCACCTTCCACCAAAGCAAATGGCTTTCCCTAGGCTAAGAGAGCCGGCGAGACAGACAAAGAAACAGACACTGTCTCTCTCCTGCCTGGTCTCTCTGAGTCTGTCTCTGTCTCTGTCTTTCTCTCTGCTACTCTTCATATCATCCAGCAGTCCTGACAGAGACTTGCTTGCCCCCCACTGATGTGAGACCCCCTCCTCACAGCCTAGCCCTCCCAACCCAACCTTGCCCTCTGACACTCCCCCCAGAGCACCCTGTTCTCTCCACCCACCAGGAGCCTGTAATCAGCTTTTCAGGACAGAGCCAAGGCCACCAGCTGGAGCTCTCCATCCCCAGCCCTAACCACATTCCTCCCCAGCTTACACCCTCCCATAACGCCCCCCACCCGAGTCCAGCAACTAAGCCAGTCTTTCCACTGAACTTTATTCACTCAATAAACAGTCCCAGAGTCCCCTTGGTGCCCACCACAGCCCAGCCCCCAGGGAGCCTCCAAGTCAGAGGAGGCTCTGTCCAGATCCATGTCTGGATCTGGACAGACTCCCCAGCCCCGGTGTCAGAGGGAAGCACAGGGCCGGTGAGAAGTGGTGGAGGCACGGCAGGGAAGGCTGCAGGGAGGGCATAGCTGGGGTTTTGAGAGATAAATAAGAGTTTTCCAGGGGAGCAAAAGTTGCAGAAAAGACTGCAGGCAGTCGAGAAGACGTGAGGGTTCCTTAGCCTGCACAAGACGCCTTCTCACGAGGCTCTAGAAGCTGACTGCACAGCTGGAGGCCAGCACCATTAATCTGCCCATTCTACAGGAGATAAACTGACCCCCAGAAAGGGGAGGCACCTTGGCCGCCATCACACAGCAAATAAGTGGCAGAACCGTGGGCTCTTCACCTCTGTACTCTGAGCCTCCTCACTCGCACCATGCTGTTCCCTCTGCCAAGAATACCTTTCCTTCTCTTAACTGCCGTGGAGCTCCTGTAAGTCTCCAGTGTCATCAACTGCGTGACCTTCTGGTCAGGACAGAAAGGGCCCCGGCGTGCAAATGAGCAAACATGAAGCCCTGAGACGCTCTGGTACAGTTAGGGTGGACTGTGACCCCAGCCCTCTCCTGGCCCCCAAAAGCAAGTTTCCAACCAGGGCCAGGGCAGCTGCTCTTGTCTGTGGCTTCCTCCAGCAAAGGAGGGAGGGGGACAGACGCCTGAGATCGTGTATTTAAAGCTATGCACCGTCTTCACTGAGACGGGAAGACAGGACCAAATCCTGAGACGGGAGGAAGATGCGCGGGGCTTCAGTTTGGTTCCTCAATTCCGGGGGGTGCACCTCACCCCCAAGGCATTTGTCTTGAATCTTTTCCAGTTCCTAAGGCCCCAAGACTGTCGTTGTCCCACAAGCCAGGGGTACCACTCCCCATGCAATGTCATTGCCCCATGGGGATCTCTGTGAAGCAGGAAGCCCAGAGATGGGCAACTTCTTGTCGGAGGTCACACAGCCAGTCCGCAAAGACCAGAACCCAGAGGTGTGCGTGCGGGAGAGATAAAAATGAAGTGCGCGGGGCTCTCCCTTCGGACAAGTGGGGAAGGCGTGAGTCTCACACGCTGCGCTATCCCCGGCTTCCGCTCCACAGTGCATCCAGCTGGGGGCCCAGGGCACTGAATGTTGGCCGGTCTTGCGGGTTCGGGGCCCAGCACAGCTTCATGAGCTCATGAACCTGACGAGGTAGGAGGAGACAACAGGGTCACAGGAGACTCCTATTCACAGTTTTACAATGTAAATTCGACTCCATCCCTCCTCTGCTCCAAAGCCTCCCATGTCTCCCTACAGAACTTAGAACAAAATCTCATCCCCTCTGCTGTCTCCCTCTATCACCTCCTCTCTTGTACCCAGTAGCCACATCTGCCCCCGTCTCGTTATTTGAATGCACCAAACTCATTCCTACCTCAGGGCCTTTGCACATGCTGTGTCCTCCACTGAGAATGCCCTTTCCCAGCTTTCCCCATGGGTGAGCTCCTCCTCTTCCTTCAGGATGACCCTCTCTAAGAGGCCCTCCCGGACAATCACCCACCCTCATTTCCCCCTGTTTGTCTCTTTCCAGACACTGATAACCACCAGAATGTTCTTGTTAGCCTCTGCTGGTTACTAAGAAGACAGGGTAGTATCTGTCCTGTCCCCTCCTGGGTCCCTGGCACTCAGCACAAAGCCCAGCACACAGTCAGCACTCAATAGACATTTGGGGCCTGGGCAGATTAATTTATGAATGACTAACCTCATGTCAGACACTTGCACAAAGTTGTGATGATAAACTGTAAGAGTCATTAATGTTTATGGAGCGCCTACTGTGTACAAGACTCTAAGCTGAGCACTGGAGAAGTGTTAACTGTTTGATCCTCCCCCACCTTATAAGGCATTGTTATTCCCATTTTGGAGACAGGTAAACTGAGGACCTGAGAGTATTTGTGACTTGACACACAGCAGCAGAACAGCAAAGCAGAAGCCAGAATCCCCTTCAGCTCCATGCCCCAGGGTATGCTCTCCGTCAAAAGACAACGGTGGGTGGGGAGACCAAAGGGGCCGGTTGGCTTGCTTAGGGAAATCTAGAGGGGGAAACTGAGGCAGGCCCTCCAGCGCTCACCTCACCAGGGCAGGCAGCAGGCGCGGGCAGCCTCTGACCCTCAGCCAGCAGCTCCAGGAGGCAGCAGAGGGCGGGGACATCTCGCTCACATCCCATCATCCGCAGAAACTCCTGGGGCCAAAGAGGAGCACCCGCAGTGGGGGAGGAGCCATCCGTGTTGGAGGAGGTGGGGGCGAGGGTTGGGGGAGCAGGGGGCAGCCATAGTGAAGGGAGGGAATCACCCGCGGTGGGGAGAGAGGCCCTCCGTAAGGGAGGAGGAAGGGCCATCTGTGATGGAGGGGGAGGGGGCTGCCAGTGGTAGGGGGAGGGGTCGGCCATAGGAGAGAGGTCCTCCCCATTAGAGGGGGCCTAGGTAACGCTGGGACCGGTGACTCGGAGCAAACGGCCAGGACGGGCCAGGACGCGACGGGGGAGAGGAGGGGACTGGGGATCCAGGGGCGCTGACTCACGGCCGAGGGGCTGCAATTCTTGCTGCCGTAGGTGAAAAGCTCGTACAGGACGACCCCGAAGCTCCAGACGTCAGACTGGCGCGAGAAGATGTTGTCGGAGAGGGACTCTGGGGCGTACCTGGAGGGGGGACAAGGAGGTCTTGGGGTGCGAGAGTGAGGCAGAGGACGGGCAAGGGGACAGCCCTGGGCGAGGGGAGCTCGTCAGTTGTCGATGCGGGGCTATGAGAAGGTCAGTCCCTGCGCCGGGGTCAGTTTCCCCTGCGTGTGGGGAGTGGGTATTCATTCATTCACGGACCCCATGGAGGGTCTGGGCGGGGTCAGGGGGAGGGCCGTGGCTCTAGGGGGAGGGGCCAGTGCGGAGGGGCGGAGCCGGGTGGGATCAGGCTGTGGGGAAGGGACTGCGCACAGGTAGGAAGGCGGTGGCCTGGGGGGCGCCCGGGACAGTGGGAGGGGCGGGGCCAGGACTGTGAAAGCAGGGGAGAGGCCAGGGGAGGGGGAAAAGTGGGCGGCCTGGGCGGAGTCACGGCAGGGCGAAGGCAGTAGGGGTAGGGGCGGGGCCCACGCCGAGGGGGCGGGGCTGTACTCTAGGAGGAGGAGCCAGGACTGTGGCAAGGGCGGGGCCACAAGGTGGGAACGCGCGGCGGGCCAGAGTGGTGGGGAGGAGTCGCAGGCCAGGGCGGGATCCCCACCAGAAGATGGGGCTCTGGCCGGGCTCGCGGACCACGTAGTAGTCTTTGTCGAGTGGCAGCAGCTTGGCAAGGCCGAAGTCGGCGATCTTGACGTGCGTCTCGCTCTCCACCAGGATGTTACGAGCCGCCAGGTCGCGGTGCACGCAGCGGCGGGAGCCCAGGTACTCCATGCCCTGCAGGCGACCATGAGGTACGGACCCCAGCATAAGCCGCAGGGGCCCCAAGCCCGACCCGGAATCCATCCCCAAACTCAACCCCGGACCCACCCTGCACTCCAGTCCCGACCTCAGCCGTGACTCAACAGCTCCTCCAACCAGACCTAGAACCCGAACTTCAACCCTCAGCCTTCTCCCGCGACTCCACGCAGACCCCCACCCAGGCTTAGCCACCTCAGGCCCCAGGTTCCCCGGGCACCGCCCCGCACCTTGCAGATCTGCGAGGCGTAGAGAAGCAGGCGGCTGGCGTCGAGGCGCGCGCGGTGTCGCTGCAGGAAGTCGCGCAGGCAGCCGCTGGGCAAGTACTCCATCACCAGCCGCAGGCTCTGGCGGCCTAGGTGAAGGGGGCGGGGGGCGGCAGGGAGGAGTCACCACAGGACCTTCTTCCTCCGCGTACGGAGTACGGCCCTGGGACCCTCCCAGCCTCGGGATTGCTTTCTTTAAAATGGGAACAGCAGCAATGACACTTATCATTGATTGCCCCCGGCTCTTGTGTACTTTCTACCACGTACACTGATTTCACTTAAACCTCACAAGGACCCATTTTTCAGGTGTGGAAACGGAAGCTCAGAGGGATTAAATCGCCTGCCCAAGGCCTCCCAGCTGCTAAGCCATAGCACTGGAATTCGAACCCGTGGTCCAAACTGGATACACGAGAGCGTCGGTGGCACCCCGCCTGGGGGTCCCAGACCACCCTAAAGTGTCCTGCGGGAGGATGAGGGTGTGCGATTTGAAGAGCACCGTTTGGGAGGAGGAGGTGGCTCACCCGGGCCATAGCTGACGCCGCGGTACTTGACGATGAAGTCGCTGTGGAGCGCTTTGAGGATCTGGATTTCCCGCTGGAAGTCCCTCTGCTGGTCTGGCCCGCTGTGCTGAAGCTGCTTCACAGCCACCAGGGCGCCCGTGTTGTCACCCATTGGGTCATAGCGGCACAGTTCCACGCTGCCAAAGTTGCCCTGGCGGGACGGCGGGGTTGGTGTCCGAGAGCACGGGTACTTCCCCCCGCCGCGCCCCCCCCTGCCCGGCCCACCTCACCTTGCCCAGCTGTGAGATGTACTTGAGATGTCTCTCCTCAAAAATTGTAGGGTCCTGGCACGCATAGAGCTGGGCGCCATTCCACAGCCCGTCACGGGGCGCCAAGGCACCAGGCGTGGGGTCTGAGAGGAGCTCATAATCTGCAGGGCACAGGTTGTTAAGTGACCGGCACATCAGGCCCTGGGTCTCGCTCCTAAGCTAACTTGCTGTGGGATTTCCATCCACCTGCTTACCCTCTCTGTGCATTATGGCAGGGCCACTGCAAGCCCAAGGGTACTTTGTGGGGGCTGGAAAGAGATGCCCGCTGGGTGAAAGCGGGCCCCTTAGGTTCTGTGCAAGCTGTGCAAATACCCACAACTCCGGAGACAGAAGGGCATTTCCCAGACTCCACTGCTGGGAGGCGTGGCTCATGGACAAGCTCAGGCTGATGGTAGAGAAGGGCTGGGTGCTCCTTCGGGCCTGGCCCATGGAAACCTAGCATGGGGACCCTCCACAGTCCCCCCCTTGTCTGCAGAGGATCCAACATGGGAAAGGTAGAGCCGCAGAGGGCGAGGTGCCTATTGCCCCTGACACTCTCATTGAATGAAAAGTAAATACCATCACATTCAATCTAGAGCTGAGGCGGTTGAGGTGGGGGAGGGGGGAAGCCTGTTTGTTACAGCAGCTGTTGAGGCTCATGTTGGTTGTTGCAGTCACCAACCACGCCAACCTTGCCAAGCACACAGGGCAGGCTCTGTATGCAAATCTCACTGTATCCTGCTCTGGGCCCAACACGACCTGCCGGCCCCGCCCACCCAGCCCCGCCCAGCGGCCACCTGAGGTGATGAGACTGTTCAGATCACGGATGATGGCGCGGAATGAGGGCCTCTGGCCTGGCTCGTAGACCATGCACTGTTGGATCAGTGTGGCCAGCTCCATCCACTTGGGGGCAGGAAGTTGCTGCCGTTCCTCATAAAACTGGAGCTTCTGAGGGTGGGAAGAGTGGCTGGTCGCGGCCAGTGCACCCTCAGGAGGGGCCCCTGCAGGCCAGCCCATCCTCCCCAAGCTGGGCCTCTCGTCCACCCTTTTGACAAACGGGGGAGGCGGGGCTCTAGAGGCCAACTTTGGTGCTCTGACCTTGGCAGGATCCAGGGCACTGATGGGCATCGGGATCCCGCTGAACACTTCCCAGACCGTGGCACCAAAACCCCACTTGTCAGCTTCCAAGCCAAGTGTCCGGGCCTCTTGGAGACACTCGGGGGCCACCCAGGGGATCCTGTCAGTGAGCACTGGGGAGAGGGGGTGGGGTCAGGGATCCGCTCCCTGGCCTCATGAGGCCCCACCCTCCACCCTTCCACACTTACTCTCCAGGCTCAGCACAGTGGGGCTAACGCCAGGGTCACTCAACTTGATGAAGGGCAGGTTCCCATCAGCCCCCTCCCGAGCCAAGAGCACCTTCCGGGCTGAGACATTGCCGTGGGGGAGACCTTTGTCTTCCTAAGGGGGGCCAGACACAGAGAAATGCCAGGGAGGGTTTGATGGATGAATGGTCCGGCTGGAGAACTACCACACATTCTGCAAAGCCCATGCGTTACTGCTCAGACCACTCCCCAGACTACTGGCAGCCCCTCCTGCCTTCTCTAGCTCACCTTCTATGCTGACATGTGTCCCTCCCCTTGTTAAATCCATGCTGTGGCTCCCCATTGCCTTTAGGGTAAAGTCAGAGGTTCTCAGGCTCACTCTCGCTATGAAGTTCTTCCACATCCCTACTCTGGTCTGCTGCCAACCAAACTGCCTGATGCACCCCAGGGCATGCAACACACTTTCTAAGCAGCAGACCTTTCTCCAGGCCATGCCCTTGGCCTGATGTGCCCTCCTTCTTTCCTCCTCTTGATAAGCTACTGGTCAACCTTCAAGGCTCAGCTCCAGCCCTCTTCTGGGAAGCCTTCCCTCTCTGGGGAGGCTTCCTCCTGCCCAGGCTCATTGTTCCCTGCTCCCCCGAGATCCACCAGTGACCAGCTGTTCTTCCCTTCCCCTGCTCTTACACCTCTGAGGCTGTTCCCTCAGTCGAAAATGCCCTCCCCTTGCCTCCTTGCCAAACTCCTATGCATACCACAGAGCCCATTCCCAATTCCCCCTCCATTCCGTGAATGGCAGAAGGGCGCTCACCAGATAGTTGAGGGCATAGGCCAGCTGTTTGATCACCTGCAGTTTCCAGCTGGCCGGCACCAGGTGGCCAGACTTGCGCAGATATGTATCCAGCGCTCCCAGACGCACAAATTCTTGCACCATGACACCTGGTGGCAGCAGGGAGGGGCGGGGCTGGGAGACAGGGCTGCGTCGGGGGTCCCTCGGTTCTGACTGTTCCCTCCATCCATACTCAGCTCTCTCCTCTTCCTTACTTCCCATAAGAGAACTATGCCCAGATGCCTGGAAGGCACTGAACACTCTCCATGCCTCACTTCTAGCCCTTTGCATATTCTCCCTGGAACAACCCCCTTCCTCCTCTTCCCTAATCCCCACTCACCCTTGCCTCCTCTGCTTAGACCTTCTGTTGGCCGACCCAGAATCACTGTCCAGCCTCCAAACTGGGCAAGTGGCCTCTGACCACCCCCAGGGCACTGCCCCCATCACACCTGGACATTTATCACCCTGTCCCGCCTGTCATGTTCCCTGCTAGGTGCCCAGCTCCTGGCTCATGCTGGACTCCCAATAAACAGCTGCTGAACTGATCTGATGGAACGGGAGCTCGGAGAGGTGACACGGCCCTTGCGAAGCTGCAGAGGGGGTACAGGGCCAAGTGAGCTTGGAACCCGGGCCTGTCTGACTTGAGAGAATCCTGGGGAGGGCGGGTATCAGTGGGAGCCTGGAGCTGTTTCCCAAAGAGTGACAACTGAGGTCCGGGCGATGGACCGTGGGGTCTGCGGTACCCCAGCCAGGGCCAGCTGCGGATGCTTATTGCTAATGCGACTCTTGACAGTCTTGGTGAGGAAGGGCAGGGATGGGGACGAGGGCGGCTCTCACTGTCTCCAGCCATGCACACGCCATGAAGCAACACGAGATGCTGATATGACACTTGGCTCATCAAACTCGCTGCTTCCAGAAATGACTGGGGAGAGGAGAAGGGAGAGAAGGCCTATGGGTTCCTCCCGTCCCCGGGTCAGACCAGGGACCCCAAACTTGCTGCTCGCAAATCTGCCTCAGGAACAGAGCTTGTCACGGGCCTCCTTTGACCTTGGAGTCCATCACTGGTATACACAGCACTCTGTATCATGGATTTCTGATGGGGGCTGGAAGTTCCTACTGTAATCTACCTCGGGCCTCTCACACAGAAGCATGACATTTGGGGATCAAGGAGGGCTCACGCCTTCCCTGGGTGACCCAGTCCCTGCTGATGCTTCCATCTACATCACTCTCCTCCTCTTTGCTCACTCCTCTCCATCCCACTGGCCACTTCACTGTTCCTTTTTTCTTTTTTTCCAGTTTTGTTTAAGTAATCTCTACATTCAGTATGGGGCTCAAACTTGTGACCCCAAGATCAAGAGTCATATGTTCTTCCAACTGAGCCAGCCAGGTGCCTCTCCTCACTGTTCCTCAACTATGCCAGACACGATCCTGCCTCAGGACCTTTGCACTGGCTCTTTCTCCTGTTTGGTGTCCTCTTTCGGTTTGCATCTAAATCCCCTGACCCTTCTGTATTTCGTGGTTTGGAGATGCTGCAGTGACAGTTCTGTGGTTTGAAGACCTGTGTGTATTTAAATTCCTCTGAATCCACAACACTGTCTCCAGCCCGTCCTGACCCCAAACTCTTGGTCCCCATCACACTTACCTCCATGCAGTTTTTGTGCTTGGCATCCATCACTTTGAGTAGCACCTCCGTCTCCCTGGGCTCCCCGTCCACAGCCTCATGGCGACAACCTCGGTAAATCTTGGTGAAGGACCCATGACCCAGGTTCTCATGCTGGAGAGCGAGGGGGCAATGGGAGAGGCTGGTAAGGGGGCTCCCGGTGGAATCCCAGCCCCATTTTACAGATAACAAGACAGAGGCACAAGGAGGTTATGTCACGTGCTTGAGGCCACACAGGAGAGGTGTAGATGGGATGGAATGCAGGCCCAGCCTCCACTTCCGGGGGCCCCTCACCCACTCCAGGCTGTCAGCAGGGATCTTGTGAAACGTCATCTGACTCAGCTGGCATTGGGCTTGGGGCTGGACAAGGGACGATGAGAGGGAGCTGCAACCTCTCCGCACCACAATCAGGTTGGACTTTTCTACGGGGAGGGGGTAGGGGTTGAAAACCAAAGGTCAGGGCGCCCGAGTGGTTCAGCCGGTTAAGCGTCCAACTTCGGCTCAGGTCATGATCTCGCGGTTCATGGGTTCAAGCCCCGCATCGGGCTCTGTGCTGACTGCCAGCTCAGAGCCTGGAGCCTGTTTCGGATTCTGTGTCTCCCTCTCTCTCTAACCCTCCCCTGCTCATGCTGCCTCTCTCTCTCTCTCTCAGAAGTAAATAAAACATTAAAAAAAAATTTAAAAAGAAATAAATAGGGGCGCCTGGGTGGCTTAGTCAGTTAAGCGTCCGACTTTCGCTTAGGTCATGATCTCGCAGTTCGTGGGTTCAAGCCCCGCGTTGGGCTCTGTGCTGACTGCCAGCTCGGAGCCTGGAGCCTGTTTCAGAGTCTGTGTCTCCCCCTCTCTCTGACCCTCCCCTGCTCACGCTGTCTCTCTCTCTCTCTCTCCTAGAAATAAATAAAAATATTTAAAAAAAAAGAAATATATAAAACATTAAAAATATTTTTAAAAGGAAGAAAGAAGACTCCAGAGGCCACCTGGGTGTTTCAGTGGGTTAAGTGTCTGACTCCAGCTCAGGTCATGATCACATGGTTCGTGAGTTCAAGCCTCATCAGTCTCTGTGCTATCCAGAGTGGAGCCTGCTTTGGCTCCTCTGCCCCCTCCCCGCCCACCCCCCACTTGCGCTCTATCTCTCTCTCAAAAATACATTGAAAACGCTTTTATAGAAAAAAATGAAAGGTGACTTCAGAAAGCCCCAGTGGGGAGCTGAGTCACCAATGAACAGGTGAGCCTATATGCCTCGAGCTGTCCCCTCCAAGGGGTTTGTCTGAGAGTGAAATTCACCCAGAGGAAGACGCAAGAGATGGACAGAGACTCTGCGCCAGTGAAATCTCTCCGATCCAGCCGCGTCTGGACCTAGTGGTGCCTGAAAGTAGCATTTATTCCACAAGCCAAGAAATCACCTCTTCTTCCCTAACCCATGTTGGCATGCAATCTCTGTCACTTGCCACACACAAGGCAGGGGCCCGGATGGCATGCTTGGCTCAGGGGAGAGGGCGAGCTCACCTTTGGGTCTGGGGGTGCAGCAGGAAGTGAGGTTCAGCGCGACCCCGTCCACATGCAGCCCACCATCCCAGCAGGCTGCCAAGAGCTCTCGAAGGCTGCTGTGGGGACGGCCAAGGCCAGCCAGGGAGAAGGTTCCCATGGGGTCGCACCGGATGAGGCAGCCCTTGTAATCAGGACCCAGGGGAGTCTGCAAGGAGGAGTGGCTGCTGAGTGAAAGTGGGCACCCCTCCCTCCCCCTCACTCCATCTCCCTGGAGCACCACAGGCTCACTCCAATCTCCAAGCCTTTGCATATGCTGTTCCCTCCCCTGGGAATGCCTATCCCCTCCTTTTCTTCAAGGGGCAAATACAGACTCTTCTTTCAGGTCTCAGCTTAAATGTCTTTTCCTCCAGGAAGCCCTCCCTGCCCACCTGGCTCCTCGTGGTGGACCGACCTGGACACAGACAGTGAGGAGGAAGCTGTCGAAATCCTGGGGGCTGCGGCGGAGAACATAGGAGCCGGGAAGGGAACCTCCAGTCTTGAGCTTGTTGATGGCAAAATCCAAGCTGTGGAGAAAGGTGGGAGGGAAAGACAGAGAGACAGAGAGATGGAGACAGAGAAACCAGGTGAGACTTCGGTTCTAATCTGGTCCCTCTGAAGCCCTGGGACCATTACCAGCTAACATTCCCTGTCTCCTTCCTATGTATAACATGAACCAAAAGTTGGAGCTTCTACTAGTGGATTAAAGGTGAGGCTACAGGTGGAGCCTGGTGCTATCTATCCTCAGGAATTGGGCCCCGGGCCCTGAGGAATCAGAGAGACGCAAGTCCCTGTCCTGGACAGCAGAAAGGAGACCCTAGCCTCACTGAGCGCCAGCCATGCACCTTGACCGCTTGTCCAAGGCTCCCAGGAGGGAAGGACACCGAGGCACCGAGAAGGGGCGAGGCCAAGATTCCAATCGAGTTCTAGCTGCGGAGGGTGGGCATGCGGGGCGGCCCCTTACGTGATGGGACCGTGGCACTGCTCAGCCACCTCCTGCAGCAGCCGCGGCGGCGCAACCTCCTTGCAGAAGAAGTGCCTGGAGTCGGAGGTCAGCCGGAAGTAGCCGTCCACGAGCGCCACGAAGGACAAGGCCGCAGGCAGCCCCGGGAACTCAGCCTCCTGTGAGGATCCGCGTCAGCACCCGAACGCCACGGCCCGCGTCCCCGCGGTCGGGGTAAGGGGGGAGAGGAGAGGGTCCACCACCCACCAGGATCTGGTTGTCTGTCCTGGTGACGGTGACCAGGCGGTGCTCCCCAGCCGGGCCAACACGAGGAGCCTGCTTGATGCTGATGTCTACAATTTCTGGAAAGTCACAGAAGGGCTGGAGGGCCTGGGAATGAGGGGGAGGGCTGAAGCTGGGGGGCGAGGTCCTTTCCCCTCGGAGCCCCCAATCCGTCTCGGAAGCCTGGACCCCACGAACCCACACCATAAGCCCCGACCCTCTCAGCCTTGCCCAGCCCCAGCCCCTTCCCACCTCGCCCCTGCCAAGCCCAGACCCCTTTTATCAATCACACCCCATTCAAACCCTCTCCAGCCCATCCCCAAAGTCTCCCACCCCACCTGTGCTAAACCTCATCTCCCTCTGTCGGCCGGTTCCCTCCCTGCGCCCCCTTTTAGCTCCACACCCCCATCTTCCAGGCTTGGTCCAGCCGGGGACCCCGCCCCCTCTCTTAGTCTTGACTCCTCCCCCTGACTCAAGTTAGCCCCGCCCCGATCCTGGCGCACCCAACCAGTCCCCGCCCCCTAAAGCCCCGCCCATTTTATTCCCGCCCACTCGCTCAGCCCCACCTCTCTCAGCGGGCCCCTCTCCGAGCTCCCCCAGTCTCTCCCCGCCTTAGCCACGCCCACCCTCCTGCCCCTCCTTCCTAGGCTCCGCCCCTGCCGTTGGTCCTGCCCATCAGCCGCCCACACCTCATCTCCTCCTGGACTCCAGTGGATGCCGCTGTCACCAGCCACTCGGAGCAGCCCCGGAGCATCCTGACCACCAGCAGCCCCGGGGAGGCTCACGAGGAAGGTCTCGGCGGCCCTGGCCGGGTCCAGCCTCTCCAGGTCCATGATGTACTTGGCCATGAGCGAGTGCCTGTCAGCCTGGCAGGCGGTCACGCGGCGCAGGGCCCGGCGCACAGTCCTCCGGATGCGCTTCCGCGTCACGAAGCTCAGGCCCTGGATCAGGTCGCGCAGATCGGGGGGCAGGCAGACCTTGTAGCTACGAGTGGGGGTAGCAAGTGGTCACTGTGGGGAGGGATCTCCGCAGGTACGGACAGGGACGCACGCAGATCCAACTTTAGTTGAGGGGCTGGAGAGTGGCCTCAGCTGGGGGGCACGAGGCACACACGGAGACTCTTAAGGACACACGTGAGGGAAGGACCTCAGCGTGGGGAAGGCCATTCGTGTCTTCAAGACAAGGACACACACAGTGTGCAGGAGGCAGGGCACTGGGGCCCCAGTAGGGGCTGGGGCTGGGTGGATGGGGTCCCGAGTCACATGGACACACTGTAGACCCGTGGGTGGGAAGCCTCACGGCAGCCTGGGCTGATGGACCCACGTTTTCTCACTCCCAGGTAGAGGCTGGGTACCATAGTCCGGAAGCCCTCACCTGACCGTCTTCAGCAGCTCCTCAGGCTGCCGGGCCTGCTCCCGGGCCATCCGAGCCAGGTCCAGCACCGCCAGGCTGAGATATTCACCCTGCTCCTTGAGACTGAGGCCCACGGCGAGGCGGCCGCTCACCAGGTCATTTCGGTGCTGAGGGGACCGGTCACAGCCCAACTGTGAGCCCTGATGTTGCCCTACGGACCCCCACCCTTGGGCTGACTCCCACCCCTGGGCTGCTTCAGAGAGAGTCAGCCAAAGCCACCCACCCAGGACCCTTGACGTTGCCCCGGGGACCCCACCCCTGGGCTGAGCCCCACGCAGATCCCTACCTGGGCAAAGAGGTGCTCCAGGACGGGCAGGTCAAGGATGGCACTGGCGAGGTCCTTCCGTAGCCCGAAGCGGTGGCACTTCTCCAACCCAAACCAGTTGGGGAAGTAAAAGCTGTTGGGGAAGGAGAGACGCCTAGAGTAGGAGTATCGAGAGGTAGAGGACTGTGCCAAGACCTCAGAACCCAGGTCATGCCATCGACTTGCCATATGCCCTTGGGCAAGCCACTCACACTCCCTGGCCTCAGTTCTTCGTCTGTGAAATGAGCAGTGATCACATCCTCCCTGGGGCACTCACCAGGAAGTGCAGGGAGATGACAAGGTAGTAGGGTCACTGTTGTTTTCTTTTTTTCTTTTTTAAATGTTTCTTTATTTTTGAAGGAAAAAGAGACAAAGCATAAGCAGGGAAGGGACAGAGAAAGACGGAGACGCAGAATCCAAAGCGGGTTCCAGGCTCTGAGTTGTCAGCACAGAGCCCGACGTGGAGCTCGAACTCACTAGCCATGAGACCGTTGCCTGAGCCGAAGACGGACACTTAACTGACTGAGCCCCCCCGGGCGCCCCTGATCACTGTTGCTTTAAACACCTCATGCTCTTGGGGGACCTGAGTGGCCCTGATTTCGGCTCAGGTCGTGATCTCACAGTTCATGAGATGGAGTCTTGCACTGAGCCTTGCGCTGACAGCACAGAGCATGCTTGGGATTCTCTCTCTCTCCCTCTCTCGGCCCCTTCCCTGCTTATACTCTCTCTCTTTCAAAATAAATAAGTAAACATAAACAACAACAAACTCCCTATACCCTCAACAAAAGGCACCCCCTCTTAGTGATTTAACCCACCCTTGCGGGGGTTGGGGTGACGTGTTTCCTACCGGAGCCTGTAGACCAGGACTTGGGTGCCTGCATCCTCCGCGGAGAAGATGTGGCTCGGGGGGTACCAGTAGGACAGATCCTCCGTGGCCAGAGCAAAGAGGGAGTGGTACACGGGCAGGATGCCTGAGGGGATGCCCCCCATCAGCACCCTCCTGTTTCCCCCTCTATCCCCTGCAGGACTGGCATGGTTACACAACCCCATGCAGCCCTACAGGGCTCTTTCCCACCTGCAGCTCCAACACTGTGTCCCACCCCTGCCCACACACACTCCAGAGCTCCCTATTGCCCTTAGGAGAGAATGCACACCCAACCTCCTGCCTGCCCCTCTCCCCAGAGTGTCTCCTTCCACTGTACACTTTGCCTCAAGGCAGGACCCACTTTTTCCCCTCAGGTGCCTCTGAGTCTTTGCATAGCCCTTCCCTGTGCGCCTTCCTCCATTTCCAAGCTCTTACTCATCCCTCAAAGCCCCAGCTCCAAGGCTGACTCCACGTGGCAGCTATCCCAGCTCCCAATCTGTCTCTCTGTTTGGGCCCCCCTTCTAAGGACCTACTCACCACTGGCCTTAGCAGCCCAGACACATAGCTCTTCAGCTGAATGGTCCCCAAAGGAGAAGGATAGGCGCTGTGGGGGTCCGGGGCCCCGAGGGGGCAGCAGCACGTGCAGGGCACCAGCCTCTGAAGACGAGAGGCTGCAGGAACGCTGAGGGATCAGGGGCGTCTCCTCACTGGGAGGCGCCATAGGTGTAGCCTGTCAGGACACAGAGAGAGGCAGCCACTCAGTTCTGACCGGAGGGAACAAGACGACAGACTTCTTGGGGTGTGGGGGAGACAGAGATGCTGCTGGGTGAGGTAGGGTTGAAGCTGGTGAAAGAGAGAGAGAAACAGAGACACACAAGAGAGAACAAGAAAGACAGCGGGGGAGAAAGAGAGGTGGGGAGCTGAGTGAGCAAGGTGGGTGAGGGGTCATAGATCCCCAGCTAAGGGCTATGCTGGGGGCTGGAAGATACTCTACACCCTATGAATTATTATTATTATTATTATTATTATTATTATTATTTAGCATAGTTGACACACATAATATGTCTGACTTCTTGTCAGTGTCCAGGGCAGACATCTCCAGTCAATCTAGAGTCTCCACATATACCCTACGGCCAAGTCCCTGCCCCAGGCAGGCATGAGCAATCAATCACAGATGTACAGATTTGCTGACCAGGAAACTGATGGATACTGGTTTGTGCATATGCAGATTTAAAGGGAGAGGAGTAGGGGCGCCTGGGTGGCTTAGTCGGTTAAGCGTCCGACTTTCCCTTGGGTCATGATCTCACGGTTCGTGGGTTCGAGCCCCGCGTCGGGCTCTGTGCTGACAGCCAGCTCAGAGCCTGGAGCCTGTTTCAGAGTCTGTGATTCCCTCTCTCTCTGACCCTCCCCTGCTCATGCTGTCTCTATCTCTCTCCTAGAAATAAATAAAACATTTAAAAAATTTAAAAAAAAATAAATAAAGGGAGAGGAGCAGACCATCACTTCCTATGGATCTAGGAGACCCAAGCACTTCTGGGGCTGGGGCTGGAAAAGTTTGCATCTGATGCAATGCTTTCTGGCATGCATCAGACCCAGACTGGTGACTTGGTCAATAGCGACCTCTGTCTTGCCTGCCCGCCATGGCCACATCTCTGTCCCTTTTATCACTCCCACTATTCCTCCCTGGAATGGGCCTGGGAGGCAACTGCCCCTCATCCCTTATTCCCAGAGCTCAGGACCCCTGGTTAGGCAGAGCAAATGGCTGGGCTTTGAGCCCTGTGGGGAAAGGGGAATAGATGGACAAGATCCATTTACATTATTGACCCGAATAAAGGAGACACAAAGAGAGTATTGGGTAAAAAAAAAAAAAAAAAAAAAAGAATAAAAGAAAAAAAACTATGTTCCAGAATAATAGTAGGAGATGGGGTGGGGGGCAGCATTAATGAGGTTTTAATACACCCAGCGTATAAGCCTAGAGCTGGAATAGGCGAAGACCCTAGGCACTGGGTTCAAATCCCAACCCCACCCTATCCAAGCTTTGTGACCTTGCCAGGGCTCTTATTGCTAGACTCTACGTTCTCAGCTATGAAATGGGCTGACTCCCCACCTGCCTTGATTTGCTGAGCTGAGACCCCAAGTAACAACATTTTTAATTCTCACTAACTGGTATCATCCTTGGCAGCATGCCAGGGAGCCCTTAACCAGAGTCAGCTAAACCAGACAGGAAGGTCCCAGGGCAGGGTGGTTTAGCGGTTCCTGTGGGGGAGGGAGGGCCCGAGGGGGAGAGATCTTTCCCCGAGGAACACCTCAGGGTCTCCAGCTCCCAGACCTGGAATCCGGACATTCCCAGGCCCGGGAGCCCTGGGGCCCCAGTCACTCCCCACAGAGGTGATCGCTTCCTAGTTCTAACAGCGCACTTCATCATGGTCTTGGCACTTTCCTGTAAACAGAATCACGTCGTGTATCTTCTGTTTCAAAGAAATCTTAAAGATATATATATATATACATTTTAAATCTTGAAGGTTAAAAAAAAGAAAAAGCCAGAGGTGGTGCTCAGGACCCTGAAAAATGCCCTTATTTTAACTCCAAAAGGCCCATGTCCCCCCGCCCCGCCCCCCGCAGTTGGTTGGTCACCCTATGCTCTGGCCTGGGGCCTGGGAGAGTGGAGGCTGGGAACTGTCCCCCCCCCCCCATCCCTCAGGACCCATGAACTCCAGGCTCACGGCACAGTGATTCATTCAGGTCGAGAGAGCTGGGAATTTGGGGTGTCATTTTATGCCAAACAAAGCTGAGGCCCAGAGAGGAGAGAGCTGTATCAGAAGCCACAGAGCCAGCCCCCCCAGCCCGCCTCTGTCTGGCGGCTTTCCTCACAGGCCTTGCCTTTGTCCCTAGCCACAGCCACTCACACACTCCCCCCTTGCCCCCACCCCAGAGCCGTGTGGCTCTGCCAGCTCTTACCTGGCAGCAGGGGACCCTGGGCCAAGGACTGCAGGCAGAGCGGGAGGCAGCAGGAGGAAAGTCCCACTGGGCTCCTTCCTGTGTGGGCCCCTCGGCTTCCTGAGCTGCTGTCACTTACTGAAAGTCATGGCCATGTGGGGGATGGGGACGGAGAGGCAAGAGGGCCCAGCCAGGGAGGGGCGGAAAGTTCCAGAAGCCTGCACAACAGCGGCCCTCCTCAGACTGCTGGAGACCCTAGACCTAAAGGAAGGAGCGACAAGCGCAGAGAAGGGCCCCCGTCACAGAGAGCTTCTCAGCAGGCTCCCGATTCACTCACCATGGAGCCCTGGAAATGCCCCAGCTCCTAGGGCCTCAGTTTACCCATCTGTAGCATATCTGGGTGGGGTGACCAGCAGAACTAATTCTGCACCCAGGAAAGGGAACTGGGCTGGATCTGCACCCAGGAAGGAAACAGGGAAGTTGCCCCAGATGAATGTCAAGTTCTTCTTCAGGGTATTTTTCCCATGAGACCCTGGGAGGAATCACGGGGCCCCTTCTGTGCACCGTGCTCTCCACACAGCCCTAGAAACAGCGGGAACCAGGCCTGACCAGGCCTGCCTTCAGGTCACCTCACCCTAGGCTCCGTCAGGAAGACAATTACTGAGTGATTATAGACAGCAAAGAAAACCAGGGTGGGGCGCCTGAGTGGTTCAGACTGTTAAGCATCATTGAAAGGAAGTTTTCGGCTCAAGTCACGAACTCTCCTTTTGTGAGTTCAGTCGGTTTGGGCTCTGTGTTGACAGTGCAAAGACTGCTTGGAATTCTCTCTCCCTCCCTCTCTGCCCCTCCCCCCCAGATCTGCTCTCTGTGTCTCTCCCTCAAAATAAAGAAACTTACAAAATTAAAAAAGAGTGCTTGGGTGGCTTAGCCAGTTAAGCGTCCGACTTTCGCTTAGGTCATTATCTCATGGTTCTTGGGTTCGAGCCCTTTGTCGGGCTCTGTGCTGACTGCCAGCTCAGAGCCTGGAGCCTGTTTCAGTCTGTGACTCCCTCTCTCTCTGACCCTCCCCTGCTCACGCTGTCTCTCTCTCTCTCCTAGAAATAAATAAAACATTTTAAAAAAAATTAAAAAAGAAACCCAGGGTGATAAGATAGTCACAGGGCAGGACTGGGGGCAGGAGATGCCTTCTGTGTAGAGGCCGTGATTAGTTGAGCTGGGATGTGAGGCAGGACAAGGAAAGAGCGGTGGGGGCTGCCGGAAGTGCAAAGGCCCTGAGGTAGAATGAGGTGAGAAGTGTGAGGAACAGAGAGGAGGCAGGAGTGGCAGGAAGAGGTAAGAATGGAGGGGGAAACACAGTGGTGACCAAGGGGCAGGTCTGACTTATCTTTTTTTTTTTTTTAAATGCCCGTGAAGCTTCCCTGAGTGCAAAAGTCAGGAGGTTAGGGCAGCATCCTTGGGGAGACCTAGCCCAGAAAATAGAGTTTTGAGGATAGATTTTAGAGGACTTTTTCGTCTCTCTAATTCCATCACATGTCCTGGCACAAAAATGGCTTTGGAATGGATGTACTGTGTTGACTTTAGTTCAATCACCCACAGACACTTATGGGGAAACCTCTTGTGTGTCGGGCACTGGGGACACCTCGGGGGACAGGATAGCCCCAGTGTCTGCCCAGTGGAGCTGACGATCTAGTGGGGGAGACGATACTGAACAGCTACGCAGTAATTGTTTCGGTGGCCCCCGGGGGCTGGGCTGCTAGGAAACACCCTGAGTCTGGGAGGGCTTCGTGGAAGAAATGACTTTGATACTGAAATCCAAGGACAAGTGGGATTAGACCAAAGAGTGATCTGGAAGTGTGGGGAGTTGGCGCGGAGGGAAGAGCCCTGGCAAAGGCCAGATCACGGTGTTTCTGAGAAGGGCAGGGTGTCAAGGACAGACTTGCTTGGAAGTTAGGGCCCTGTGGATGGAGGAAGGAGCAGGAGTATGACCTTAGGGCAGCAGGAGCCCTAGCAGGCTAGTGGCAGGAAGTGCTGCTAAGGGGCTTAGCTCGGGCGTTTTGCTTTGACTTCCTGGGTGGTTTTAGCAGAAACGGAGGTGAGCTGGCCGTGAGACAGAGGCTCCAGCCCTCCAGGAAGGACAGCGCGTTTCTAGGGCGCTGACAACTTCAGCGTCATGGCCATGGTGGTGTTTTGAGAGTGAGCAGGAAGGGAACAGGGTTAGGACAAAGGTGACATCCTCATCCCCAGCGCGGGACGCGTGAAGGTTGCAGGAGGAAGTTTTAAGGAGGCAGAGCCCAGAACTTGCTCAAGAATAAATAGAAAACTTTAGTGATGCAAATACCTCAATTTTTCTGCTGCCAAAAAGCTCATAAATACAGTCAAAGAATAAATAGATGAAACAGGAAACAAACGTGAACCCATATCATGGATAAAATATCTTTATTTTACAAGCACCTCCTATGAAACAGTAAGAAAATGCCAAAGCTTAGCAAGATATGAACCCAGAAGTTACAGAAAGTGACATACAAATGGCTCTTTTTTTTTTTTTTAACAAATGGCTCCTAAACCCAGAAAAAGATGCTCACCTTCACTCATAATAGGAATGTGCAAATAAAAAAATTGTTTTTTAGGGGCGCCTGGGTGGCTCAGTTGGTTAAGCATCCGACTTCGGCTCAGGTCATGATCTCACGGTTTGTGGGTTCAGGCCCCGCGTCGGGCTCTGTGCTGACTGCCAGCTCAGAGCCTGGAGCCTATTTCAGAGTCTGTGTCTCCCTCTCTGACCCTCCCCTGTTCACACACTCTCTCTCAGAATTTTTTAAAAATGTTTTTATTGTTTATTCATTTTTGAAAGATAGAGAGAGCTCAAGCAGGGGTGGGGCAGAGAAAGAGGGGGAAGACAGAATCAAAAGCAGGCTCCAGGCTCTGAGCTGTCAGCCCAGAGCTTGACAGGGGGCTTGAACTCACAAACTGAGATCATGACCTCAGCCTCTCTTATAGTAGAAAATGTGCAAACTTAAAGCACAGTGGAACCAAATGATCATTTCAACAGATACGGGAAAGACTGGCCCAAATTCAACACCCCTTCATAAAAACTTTTACCAAAGTGTGTGTAAATCTAACTGATAAGGGGTCTCTAAAAAAAAAAAAAATCTATAGGTAATATTTTACTTAATGTGAAAGACTGAATTGTTTCCTCCTGAGGCTGGAATGAAGTCAAGGAGTCCATTTTCACCACTTTTATTTGATTTTCCTCTGGAGGTCAAAGTTATTACAATGAGGGTAGAAAAATAAACACAAAACATAAAGATTGAAAAGGAGGAAGCAAAACCCTTCCTATTTGCAGATGGTACGATTATTTATAATGTAAAAATTCCAAGGGAATCTATGACAACTATTAGAACTAATACATTTATTTAGCAAGGTCACAGGTGAAAAAGTTAATATAAAAATTCAATTGAAAAAACAAAAACAATTGAATTGAATTCTTATATACTATGTATTCTTACATGAGACCAAACAACTGGAAAACGAAATGTTTTAAAAATCCCATGTGCAGCAGCACCAAAAAAATAATATAGCCAACAGATACGACTAGACATTCCGCCAAAGCCCACAAGCCCATGAACATACTCACAAAATCATTAGCCGTAAGGCAAATGCAAATCTAAACCAAGTTGAGATAGCACTTTACACCCAGTAGGAAGAGCAAAATTTAAAAGACAGGCAATACCAAGTGTTGACCATGTGGGGCTTGGGGGGGTGGGGGGAATGCTAAAAGAGGTGCAGACCCTGTGGTGAACAGTTTAGAAGTTTCTTAAACATCCGAGCCAGCCGTTTTCCTCCTATGTATTTAGAGAAACTAAAGCATAGGTCCCTATAAGGGCTTATAAATGCATGTACTTGACCGCTTTATTTGTCATAGTTCTAAATTGAGAACAGCCCCGATGTTCATCCAGGTGAATAGATGAACAACCTCTGGTCCAGCCATGCAGTGGAATACAACTTGGTTAAAAAAGAAAAAGGTAATAAACTAGTGAAAGATGCAGCAGGGGCGCCTGGGTGGCTCAGTCGGTTAAGCATCCCACTTTCGCTCAGGTCATGATCTCGCTGTTCGTGGGTTCGAGCCCCACATCGGGCTCTGTGCTGACTGCCAGCTCAGAGCCTGGAGCCTGTTTCAGAGTCTGTATCTCCCTCTCTCTCTGACCCTCCCCTGCTCACTCTGTCTCTCTCTCTCTCTCCTAGAAATAAATAAAAATATTTAAAAAAAAAAGACGCAGCAATATGGAACAATCTCAGAATCATCACGGTGAGCGAAAGAAGCCAAGCACAAGGCTTACATGTAAAATCCTGGAACACGCGAACTCTTCTCTGTGACAGAAAGCAGATCAGGGGGCCCGGCAATCAAAGTGCAGAGAAGAAGGGGTTGCGAAGGGGCGCACACACTGCTGGGGGGATGGTAGGTTTATCATCTTTCTTTTTTTTTTTTTAAACATTTCTTTATTTTTGAGAGACAGAACGCAAGCAGGGGAGGGGCAGAGAGAGAGGGGGGCACAGAATCTAAAGCAGGCTCAACGCTCTGAGCTAGCCGTCAGCACAGAGTCTGACGTGGGGCTCAAACCCACGAACTGTGAGATCATGACCTGAGCCGAAGTCGGACGCTTAACTGATGGAGCCACCCAGGCGCCCCAAGAGGTTGATTATCTTGATTGCAGTCACGGTTTCATAGATTTACACACTTGTCAAAACTGCACAAGGCGTGTATTTAAAATATGTGCAATTTATGGGGGCCCTGGGTGGCTCAGTCGGTTAAGCGGCCGACTTCAGCTCAGTCATGATCTCTCAGTTCGTGAGTTCGAGCCCCGTGTCAGGCTCTATGCTGACAGCTCAGAGCCTGGAGCCTGCTTGGGATTCTGTGTCTCCTTTTCTCTTTGCCCTTTCCCTGCTCACGCTCTCTCCGTCTCTCAAAAATAAATAAACATTAAAAATATAGATAAAAAATAAAATATGTGCAATTTAGTGTACTCCAGTTACGCTTAATAAAGTTGAAAAGTTGGGGGGAGGGGAAGGAATAACAAGGGGCTGTTTTCCACCTGCTAGATGGGCATCGATGAAACATGTAAGAGTTCAGGGGCGCCTGGGTGGCTCAGTCAGCTGAGCGTCCCACTCCCGATTTCTGCTCAGGTCATGATCCCAGCCAGGCTCACAGGATCAGGCCCTGCAATGGGCCCCACACTGAGCGTGGAGCCTGCTTGGAATTTTCTCTCTCTCCCTCTCCTCCGCTTGCTCTCTTTCTCTCTAAAATAAAATTTAAAAGAAGAAAGAAAGGAACGTATAAGACTTCAGTGTATTCTCAAGCGATCTGCGCAAATTCTCATTTTTGCCATCACGAGCGGAAATGGCCCAGTCCTGCGGAAGGAATCAG